AATACCATTGGACCAAAACGTAACACTTATTACATGATAAAATAGAGTATGCCATATCTTTTCACGTCATTGCCCAGCCACCATCGCTTCAACCCATTGAAGTAAACCGTGAGCACCTCTCATGACAACAAACCTCTCTAATATCTTTCTCTCTCTTTATTCTCTTCTTCATGTTCCTCCTCTTGCAAACACACAAAAACCCACATACATACACAAGCTTTACAAACATACATAAAACACATACATGCACAACATAAACACACACCGACATACCCAGATACACAACACACACGCACTCACACATTTAACGCGCGCACAACACACCCACACACAAGGTGTACCCAATTTCTTTCAATTTACCCATTTCATAACCCTCATATTTCCCCCAATTATTTTCTCCAAAAATTCAATCTCATGAATTTCACCTACATTTCCCCCTTATTGTTTTCGCCAAATTTCGATTTCATGAATCTCAATTCACACACCACTTTTTTTTGTTGTTTGCTTAGGTTGCTATTTTGAATTGTTTTACTTGAATATGAATTTTTTTGTTCATTTAAAATTCTGATACTTGGATTAATGTTTAATCTGTCCATTGATGGTGGTTCACATTGTTTCATGTATTATAGATTTTTGTTCCCCCGACTCATGGAAGGCTGAAAAGACTCAACAATTCTCTCTGGGTAGATGGATTCTTTGAGATATCTTACCATACATAATGTTTTGGTTTTGGTTTTGTGTTCAAAAAAATGTTAAACGTTAATTCTTTGACTTAGTTTAATTCTATTGCTAAAGGTTGCAATTTTATTATTAACCAATGCTTCAAAGTATGGAATGTTAAAATCAAATGATTCTTATTTATGAGAATTTAGTTCTTTGATTGGACTTGCGTGATTACATATGACTCTGATTTTTGTTATTATGATATAAATTTTATTTTGGTTTGAATTATATAGTGACTAAAATTTGATGTTTTCTTTGAGTTAGGTTGGATAATTTATTCTTTAAATTAGTTATGTAATGGTTGTGTTGGGCAATGTTACAATTTTCTACTTTTAGAGAAATAATTTTCAAAATTTTTTGAAAAATAGTAAGGGTTACACTGATTTCAATTTCCTTAATTAAATTAAATAAAAGAAAAACTATTTTAATTTGAAGGATTTGTTTAAATTGCAAAGTGTCTTTAGAGGCGATTTTGTTTTTTTATATTTTTCTAATGATTTTTTGTTTATTTGCTCTACTTAATTATGCATTTTTGTTTGACTCATGTAATATGATATAGATTACTAATTTTATAATATAAAATGTGTTGTGTATAGGTTGATATTGTTCAGGGTTATGTCTTTAGGAAAAATTATATCAAAAATTTTTTATAAAAAAAAATGGGTCGATATTAATCTGGTGGAGCTTATAGTCGTGGAGATTGGGTTATAACTCAATCTCTACATGAACTTATAATCCGGCTATTGGAGCTTATTGCAATATGGTTGATAGTTCTGATTTGGCTGGTGGGTTAAATTGTTACTAAAGTATGGCAACTTTTACTGTTAGTATGATATACATGATAAATTGCTTCAAATCTTAGTTTTCTCTCTAATAATCTCTGTTGGAACATCATTTTGATTACAATTCGACTTCAAATTTTTTTTTTAATCATTGAAATATGGATCCATTAGTTGTTGAATGTTATAGTTGTTAGTGGTATGGTGTGCGGTTTGTATGAGTTTTGTTTGTTTTGTGTTTAGTACGGTGAACTAATTACACATGTGTATGAAGATATGTTCGATTTTATGTGAATTGATGGTTGTTTTGGTCGTTGGTATAAACTGCTGATTTTGGGGGAAATAGAATTGAATTGTGATTGTATGGTGTATTATAATGATTGTTGTGTATAATTGTAAGTTTTGTAGGTAAATTTATAATTTTCTAAGATCTTATTTTTAGAAGAAATTTTGTCAAAATTTTTGAAAGATAGTAGGGACTAATTTGATTTCAATTTCTTATACTAAAATAAATGAAGTAAAAACTATTTCAAATTGATAATTTGTTTTAGGGTGCAAAATGTCTTTAGACAATGTAATAATACTCTTTGAATTTTAATTTAATTTTTTGTTATATCGTTCCTTAATACACGTACGATTAATAATACTCGATGTAGTAGAGAATTGTCTTTGTCCATGCTTGCTTTCCTTTCACTAGATCTGGATCTGGGTCTATCTGTCGTCAACGTAGACAGTAGTAGAATCTCACGTGCGGTATGGGATTGGGGTAATCAAAGTTTCGGATGTTCGCTCAAACACGTGCATTTCTGGTCAAAGATGGGATGCAGCCAGTACTCTCTCTCTCTCTCTCTCTCTCTCTCGTCAAAGTAAGAAAAATTCAAACTTGTGAAAGCACATCCCTCAGTTTTAGTCGTTTTCGGGAAAGGAACACGTTGAGCTGGTGCAGGCCCCCTTGGCCTTGGGACTACTTTTCTTCTTTCCTTCTTCCACATGATTATCCAGTTTTTTAGAATTTAAATTTTGCCTCTTTTTTTTTTTTTGAATAATGGAATTCATTGTTTATAAGTTCTTTCGAATGAAGCATACATTCTATAATTTTTTAAACAGAGATCTACAATTTAAGAATAACCATAGAAGGGATGATTTATTGATTTTAAGGCAAGGCAACGTTTGAATTGGGAGAGCGATCCCATTAATAAACTGATTATAATGCTTACACTACACACTTGAGAGGCACATGTCAAACGTACGCTGAGGGGAGAAGGGGTTGTCTCTTACCCTTCCACTTCTATGAGATATAATTTAGGAAGCTCTGATACTCAACACGGACACGTGTTCGATACAGCTATAAGTGTCATAAATAGTGAATTCAATTGGATATAATTAGGACATGATTAAAATATGTCTAAAATATGTATAGGACACATTAAAGATACGTCTAAGACACGGACAAGATATGTCTAAAATACGATTAGGATACGGCCAATAATTTTTTTTATTTAAAAAAAATAATTTTTTAACTATTAAAAGGAGTGTGATTTTTATTTTTTTAATATATTTTTTGTTATGTAACTTATATACTATGCATGTTAATAGATGTAATGATGTTTGATAAAAATAATGAATTTTTAATTTGATCTATTTTAATTTTAATAAAAAAAATAATATTTGTTAGGTCTTATTATTAATATTATTATAATATATGCTTTATTTTTAATATATTATAAATTTTTTATTATTTAAAAATATATTTTATTATTTTAATAACCGTATCCTCGTCGTACCTGTGTCCCATATTTTTTAACTTTATCGTATCAAATATGATGCCTGTATCCGTATCCATACTTTCTAAGATATAATTATGAGAGATTTATATGGATCCATGTGATCTTAAACATGGGGAACTAAAGCAATGAAGAACTCCTGGTCATATCACAATGTTCAGGTGATCCCTGTCTTAAGTTTGTGTCTTCCTTTTTGTATGCTTTTGTCACCAATTTTTTAGACCATGCAAGACATAGAGGAGAGAGGGAGACAAATTAATGTGGAGGAGGTAGTAACAAGTTCACAATACTAAGGCTGTAAGCTTGGGTTTTCATGCGCAATCCATATGAGAATTCTTCATTATCACCTATAACAACTGACTTGTCAAACACTGGGAATTGGCCACTAACGTAAGGGACTATATGCCGTAGATGTGGAAGTAGAAGTTTAAAAATTGGATCTTCTTTCTTCGGTTCAGCAAAGACAAAAAATTGAGAATGGGGAGTTTAATGGCGTGGATAAAAATGAAGTGTACTTAATCTCTCATGGAGTAAATGTAGATGAGATCAACTTAATATTTTGAAACAAGAGAATGAAATAAGATGAAAAAAGATATTTAAAAGGTAAAAATAGCCCCCATCCAAAAACAAAAGTCTTATTTGTACTTTGTCCTACTCCTACCATTCCATATCGCCGTCCCGGCCAAAACTCATGTGCATGTGCTGCACTACAAACTTTATGCTACTCATAAATCAATACCTCCCAATATTATTATAATATCACATAACCGTATTATTTGTTGGGTAATTACATGTGAAAATCAGAAATCAAATAGAAAAAAAAAAATTGAAAGAGTTATAATAGACATTGAGAGTTTGTTGGGTATAATAAAACGTGAGAACTCCAAATCAAATAGAAAAATAATTGAACGAGTCATAAGAATAGACTTACTAATGACTAGATGGGTATTTTGTTTTATTGTATTTTTTTTTTCTTGAATTCTCATCTCTCAGTAATTAGTATTAGTGTTAATAATTAATCATTGGGCAAAACAAACATGATATATAACTCAAATTTGTAACTCAAATTTACATCCTAGATAAAGGGAGACCATTGGATACTATTTAAAAAAATTGATAAGATTCACTCATCTAACGGTTTCCCTTCATTTAGAATACAAATTTGAATTACAAATTTGAGATAAATAGTATTTCTCAACAAACATTGTTTGACATTTTGGTGGCAGTCTAGTTGAGACGGAGTGTGATCCAAAATTGCTTGGTTTGGACGTCTATTGGCATTGTAGTTGTGGAATGGAAAATCAAAGGAAGAAATTAAATTAAGACTCATTCAAAGCAAAGCGTCAAACTTTGAAAAACAAGGACCAATCAACAAGAAGCATGCGCCACCGTCTCCTTCGCTTTTTAATTAATACGGCTTTCCTAGCTAGCTAATGTAAGTAATATCATCAATTCTCCATCTCCTTCTTTACATTACCAATGCCACCTCTCTATATAGTATAGAAGTCCCTTCTTCTAACTTCCCCGTATATAACAATCAAACCAAGGAATCAAAGCGGCTTGGCTTTAATTTATTCCTCTTCCTCCTGCTGCTGCTGCATGCTCGATCTCTGGGTTGTCCTCTCGCTACTCTCTGCGTCTTAATTTCACTCTCCGTCTGTCTCCCTTTTTTGTCAAACTCTCATAGTATATTATAATTTCTACGCATGGTCTAATGGGAATCAAAGTTTTTGGGCACCAAATGCTACCCTGGTGTTTTCACTTGATGACCAACCACATCTCCTGTTTGCAATTCCAACCCAAGCCATCTCCGGTCGGGGGGACCATCAAGCTCATTAACTCGAACGGCCGTGTCAAGATCTATGACAGGCCCATCCATGTCTCGGACCTAATGGTTGAGTTCCCAAAGCACATGGTGTGCCGCTCCGATTCCTTGTACATAGGCAAGAAGATCTCAGCTCTCTCCGAGGACGACCACCTCCGGTTGGGCCACACCTACTTTCTCCTCCCAAGACATTACTTCCAATCAGTCCTATCCTTCGTCACAATAGCCTCTTTTGCCTCTTCTTCCCAAACCCAATCACAACCAGCTTCTTCATTATGCAAGAATGCGTTCCTAAAAAAGGCAGCAGCAAACTGCCAACCATTCCATATAGAGAAATCTCCATCTGGGTGCCTTAGAGTAAGGATCTCAGAAGAGTTCATATCAAAATTGATGGAGGAAGGAAAGATTAGCGAAGAGGAGGAGGAGGAGGAGGAAAACTGCTCAGGCAAGTCCAAGAGTAGAGTATGCACAACGCCTCAGTTGCAGAAAGATTACGTTCAGCTCGTTGGGTCACGACTGTGGAGGCCAAAACTGGAAACTATAAGGGAGACTCGTGAGAAGAGGAAGCTCTCTTCTTTTGGTTTGAAGAGAAGAAAGAGATCTCAATCCATTGTAGTGGCACAAAAGACTCAGAAGTCAAAACACCGCCTTCATCATCATATTTCATCATCAATATCGCATGCGAAAACACTTTCGAAAGATAAGATGATCAAAACTACATGTAAATCTGTATAATGGTTGATACTTCACAAGTCAGAACCTTTCTTTATTCACTTGGCAATACGTGTTTCGATTACTGGGATCGCTAACCCGCTGAATCTAATTTCTGACGCAATTTTTAAACAAGTTTTTAGTAACGATGATACAGAAGCTACGTATGAATTATTCTTTTATCAAAGGTAGTAAGAGGCAAACAATAGGGCAGAGATCGATAGGACACGCGAATCCAGCTCTATGCAATGATAGAGCTGAGAGATCATTTTTCAGTAGATCGAAGCCTGGTCGGATTTGATAATTTCCCAACTAGGTGCATGGCTGCGATCGAGTCCTTTGCCATATACATGGGAGCATGATCATCATGAGGCTATTCTAAGTTATTAACTGCCAAATTCATGTGTTGATTGGCTCTGAGACGGTGTTAGATTTATTTGCTTCACAGTTACATTAATAATATCGGCCAAATTCAGAACCAAAAAGACATCGTTTTGGTGTTTTCGTTCACTTAGAAAGAGCAAATTCTCTGGTGTTTTCAACAGATCAGAAAACAAATAATGTTTACTTAGTATTGTATTTTTGTTTTTTTATTAATCAAATATTGACATGAATCCTCGGAAAATAAGAGAATTTTTGAATTATTTCTATTATTATTAGTAATTTATGATACCCAGAAGGAATTTTAGCTAAGTATGAACTCATGAGTCGAAGTCAGGTCAGGAGGTCTGACCAGATACACAGGGCTCAAAGGACCCAAGCTGGAGCTCTCCCCCAGACAATTCAATAGCAGAAAAGATAAGGAAACAATTGGATGACAGCGGGGCCGGAGTCCAGGCGTAAAATCCTTAGCCAACCGAGATCTTCTCCTCAAAAATCAAGGAAGATTTTGCTAAGATCGCGCCTAAGAATTCTTAGGAATTAAAATTGCACTATAAATACTGTACAATGCCATCAGTTTAGAGGCAGATATGAGGAGCAATAGAGGCATTCTGTGAGTTCCGCCCCGCATTTTCAATACAATAAGAGCAAGAGCCTCCATTAAAGAGTGAACTAGCCGAAATCCCCAAATGGTGAACCACTATATTTTCATTGTGTAAATCAACTCAATCCCCAAAACAATATTTCATACGATCCTTACGAGTCTAGTAGCTCAGGTCCAAGCTGGCAAACATAATTTATACTTTCTGATCATCTACCTTAATTCACACCATCAGTAATGCATCACGTGCGTTACACGTGAATAGTTTTCGTACACAAAAATTTATAAAATATATTATTTATATGTGTATCCGAATTAAATATCATTTCAAATTTATCAAACATAATTTTTCATTGCTCATTCTATTATACGATTATAAAAACTTTGTATGTTTCTAAAATTCTTCATTTTAACTATAAAAGAAGATATAAAAGAAAAGAAATAGTTAATAGTTCTATTTTAACTTTGATTGAGATTGATTTTTTAGTGATGTTTGAGAAATTAATTTTTTTTTAAATTCATTTGATTAGGATTCCACTTATAATTCTTTGAATAAAATAAAAGTAACTATGAATATACTAATCACATTGAATCCTTATTTTAATTAAGAATTAGCTAGGTCAATTGGGATAAGATTTTATATACTATTCTATAATATATATTATCAAGTATATTAAAATTCTAAAAAAATAAGTACAATATCTATTTTTCTACAATATCTAATTTTTTACATAAAATTATAGTACAACTTTAGAAAGATTATTGTGACTGAAGAATTATATTGATGTAACATATATTAATTTTTAATATATATATATATATATATATATATATAT